TTTTCCCTCAAACCCTCCCCCTGCCCAGCTTTTTTCCACTTCTTAAAAAGATTAGTAGGAATTTGAGCAAATTGTAGGCAGAACCAGGCTTTCCCAGCTGCACCCAAACAAGCTCAATGAGTGGAAAGTTCCATGAAATATCTCTGGTTTAAGAGCTGGGCTGCAAGACAGCTGTTCTGCCTCTGCTGCAGCAGGGAGATGGGAGGCAGGCCCAGCTTGGCAAGGAGGACAGCCAGTCACTGGCCCTGTGCCATTTGGTGGATCATTCATGTGGACCATTGACTTCAGTGTAGAGATGGCATTGGGGTGTCTCCAGGGTTGGGCAGCAGCTGACTGAAGGGGTTGCTTGGTTGAACAATCTTGAGCCTGGAAGCTTACATTCTGCCTGACCAGGGTGGGGCTTTGGCCCCAGAAAGTCCTTTTTGGCTGGTGGTTGTTTCTCAGAGCTGCCCTGGAGGCCGTGGAGCACCACTGGTGGCTGGACATGCCTCAGCTGCTCCTTTGCAGCTCTGAGCATTCCCAGCAGGATTGCTCTCTGCGAAGGTAYCACTTCACATGGATGATCTTGCTGTGGAGGGGTCCAGTCTGGGAATTGCAGCCCGGGGGGGTATTGGAAGGACTAGGAAGAGTGTGGTTTGACCACTTTTCCTAAGGCCTGAGACACTTTACCTTCCATGTGACAGCCTCTGCTCAGAGCTCTGATCCAGTGGTGAGACAGCAATGAGCCATGAATGGAACATGGGATGCCTGCCTCAACCTGAGTGGGTGCAAATCCATCTTCCCTCCTCCCATGAGCATGCTCCCAGTGACTCATTTTGCCTTGTGTGGGTGGGTCACTTGCTGCCCTCCTCGTTGAAGCTGTGATATTGTGCAGAAGGGACACAGAACTGCCTTGCAGTTCCGCTTCATTCACCCAGAGAGGGATCCTGAGGCTTGGCTGCTCAGGTTGCAGACAGGTTCCATGGCAAAGCACTCACTGATAACACATCCCTTTCTTTGAACACCATTCACAGGAAGGGATGCTGGCWCCACRYRGATGAAGGTTTCATCTGTAATGTCTACAGGACATTAATGTCAGTGTTTTCTGTTGTCTAATGTAGGTCTTAGTGGGTATCTGAGACAGGCTTCTTTAATTTCTCTGTGAAGACCAGCTCCAAAACTTTCTAGGTATACACAAATTTTTTAAATTAAGTAACTTAAGACAAAAGTCCAGGAGACATTGTTGCCATCATCTAATGTGACTTCCTGTAGAATAAAAAATAGAATAGTAGTAAATCAATTAATTTTTAAAATTTATTTTAAAAATAAAATAGATTTATTTTCAGGACCAGACAGCATCTTGACTTCTTTAATTCCCAGCAAAGGAAATCTTTAAATCCATCCTTCTAATTAATTACCATTCCTATGTATGCTTGTGTGTCTTTGGAATCTGAACATATCTAGTTTTATAGCGACTGATTATCTTGATACAGTTGTCTTTCAGACTGGGTAATCCTTTCCTTCCACCTTCCTGCAGGCTGCATTTTTTTTTGGGAAACCTTGTGTTTTCCAGTAATATTATTACAGCTTTCTCTAGGGTACAGTGTCAAGAATTTTAAGGTGAGCCAGCTTGTGTTGTTAGTTACTGTCATTATTGCTGTGTGCATGTTTTCAGCCAGAAGTTTTCAGTTTATCACTGAAAATAACTCATTTACCTGCCCATACTTGCCTATAGCACATAGACACAGCTCTCTGAAGGTGCACAGCTCTTCTGTGTTGCAATTTAGAGTTTGGTTGTCTCTGTCCCTGTGGGTATTTGACCCCACTGCTGAAGGAGAGTAGTTTGGGGMAAGTGTGGAACATAAACAGGGATTGGGAGCAATAAGTGTCAATAAAGACCAGGGAGGGGATTCCAGAGATGTAGGGGCAATGGAAGGAAGGGCTGTCATAAYTGACTGCATTCACATTGCATGCGAAACTACCTGATAAAATGAAGGAGCAGTTTCCCTTTATAATCTAATGATTGCTGGAGCAGATGTATTTTGAGAGCTTGGAGGTAAATTACCCTAGAGGGGGTGCTTGGATCCAGGGGGTGCTGGAAGTAGGGTGTGTCAAGGCCGGGAGGACTTCCCCCACCCTTGCCTTGCTCCTGATGGAGTTGCTGGGCTCTTGACCCCAAGCTCCTGTATAAACACAGACACTAGCAGCTAAAACCAGCGAGACAAATCCTGCTAAATCCAGCATAATCTCATTTTGTGCAATAAAATGTATATGCTGTAAAGGAAAATCTCTCCTTTTGCTTCCAAACCTGTAGCAAATAATTCACCCAGGCTGGATACACAATTGGCATGTCCAGCTCTATAACTTGTCAACATGTACAGTGTGAAAGTGCTGAGGGCTTTCTTTCGGAGTACTTGGGATAAGGCAACTGAAGAATGGGCTATTCAAACTCTGAATAGCTTTATTTTTGACTTAATTAAAAAGACCAAAGARAGAACTGCTGGTGGCCTCAGGGCTTTTAGGGTTTCTTTTTTTTTTTGCAGGAATTATTGTGATCCAGACACAGTAACTAACACTCAAAGCTTCTCAAAGTTGAATTTGAGTCATTAGTGACAAAAATGGGGTACACAGCAATTCTCGAGCAAATTAAAAATGTACCTAATTGATAACCCTGAATGTTTGGGGGGTTTACACAATTTAAATTCTTTCTATTTTGACTGGTTTAGTGTACTGCTTATATGAAGTTCTAAGTTGCCAGCGGGTATTTATTTGGTGGAAGTGAAATGATCCATTTTCTGTTTTGAAGCTCCAGCAAACTCACTGATTTTAACACTTTCTGATGAGTACTTAGTCCTTTCAGCACTGCTGTTTATTTTAAAGAAGTTCATGGCACTGTGTATTGCTCACATCTCTAGCCTGGGCTGATTTTTCGCATCACTTCATCTGCTCCTGCTGGAGAARGTGGGATGTGTGGTGGGGCAAGACACACTGAAGCATCTCAGTAACTCAGCCTGTGCTGGCAGGGCACATCTCCTCCCCGAGCTGGGAGGGCTCATCTTGCATGAAGCTCAGGTTTTGGCAGCCTGAAGAAGGCAATGTGTGGCATTCTGAGTGTGGCAGTCCCATGGGAGGGACTGTGCTGGGCACGGTGCTCCTTTTTCTCCACGGGCAGGGGTTGGAGTAGAAAGCACTCAGCATTTGCTGGGGAAGATGCAGTTCTTCAGATTTATAAGCCAAGACACCTGCTCTAAACACAGTTTCCTGCTTGTTTGATCACCGCTGTCAGATGAACTTGAAGCAAAGACCTCTCACCACAGCCAGGGCAGTCGAAGCAGRACATCAAACAAAGCTGAAAGGCAAAGCACCTCAGTGAACGGATGGCGTCCCCTCCAGGTGCTTACAAACGGTGATGTTGTGCTGCTGTGGAGGATGGCTCAGTTGGTATCACAGCTGGTTTTTGTTATTGTTATGGTTTTTTTGGTTGTAGTTGTTGGGGTTTCTTTTTGTTGGTTTTTTTGGTTGGGATTTTTTTTGTGTGGTTTGTTTTTTGTTTTTTTTTTGTTTTGTTTGGGGCATTTTTCCACCTCCCAATCTCACTTGCAGTAGATGAATGGCTTCATTACAATGACTGTTCTGAAGCCTACAATAGTTTAAATTTTGGAAATGTAGGAACTRTAAAGAAAAAYGTGAAAGGCMTCATATAGCACTAAATACCYYTCAAAATTGGAWATTTTACWATTCTTAGATCCATACCTGTTATTRTCTCTGCTCTATTTACAGWTACCAACAATTTTTAGCTCCCAAATATTACAATAATTTCTTATTTGAGAAGAGCTGYATCCTTTCTTTTTGCCTACAGTTCACTGTCAGCAAACATGCATGCTCTTTGCTATATCCCTGAGAAACCATTCCCATTTTGGAGCAGATTTTGTCAGTATTTGCAGAGGGTTTGGTTTTGCCTGCACACCTTGTGTAGCTAAGGAGAGTGTTGTGTTGATAAGGCTGTGATCTGGGCTAGCACAGAGAAGGAGAGAAGCTCCCTCCAGCCTGGGAGATGCTGTAGCACAGTAAAAGTTCTCATTGTCCAGAACTGATGGAATAAGCAGGAATTTTCCACACAGTAGTTTTGGAAGGCAAGTCCCATTCTGAAAATGAACAGGTACAAATGCAGTAGAGTTTTCTCAGGACTTTRTTTTTGTGTGTGATGACCCTGTATCTGTGACTTAGTGGTGTGCTAGGTGGTGGAGTTCTTTCCAAATTATTTTGGCACATCTTGTCATGAATAGATGCTTTACAGCAATGCTCTGAGCRGTAGTGTGGGCAGACTGAGAATATAAGAAGTGAATTAAAAACTGAACATACATTTTGTGAAATTGCTATAATGTTGTGTCAAATTATTGCAACATGTGACCTTGCATGGTATTGGTAATGTAAAGTAAATTACTGATCCACAGTGGTTTKGTTTCTGGCATGCCTACAGTTTCCAGTGTAACTCCTCAGTCATGGTTCCCATCAAAAGACTAATTTTTTTTTATTTTTTTTTTTAAGAAATTAGGGTCTTCAGTAAAACTGCTCAGAGCAAAATATTGGCAGCAGAGTAGAAGTATTAACAATAATCCGAAATCACTGTTATCAGTGATTCTGTTTTAAACAAACAATTAGCCAAACAAAACACTTCTGCTGGTGCTTTTTGACCATGCAATAGAAATGTTGACTGGATTCAGAACATAAGGTCTGGGAACTGCATGTTCCATTTTTATTTTGGTTCAAAAATCTTAGCCCTTGATCACAGAAGTGCCATCTTAGATTCCTTGTGCTTTTCCCATATCTAAGTAACCTCTTCATAGCTGATGCAGTTTCCACCTCCCAGTCTCCAAGGTATAAATCCTACATCTGAGGGGAATCCTGTGCAAGAAGAGAGTATTTTGGATAAAGAAACAAACTGAGAAGGTTATAGTTATAACTACCTTATTCTTGTAATGTAGGTTCTTCCACTGCAGGAGGATGTTGAGCATTGTAATTTGGAGAGGATCTGTGCTCTTCAGCTGTGGATTTTTTATGGACCAGCAACTTTCCTATCACCACTCCCAGAGAGGGAGCGTCTCCTCCTAACTTGTTGTTCTGAGCTCTGCTTTATTTATTTATTTATTTATGTATTTATTAAGCACTAGTGTTTTTCAATCAYGGAATTAATGTTGGGGTTTGAATAAACTTTGAAGAAGTAATGCTGTGGTGGCTAGGAAATACGATAYGAATTTTCTTTATTAATTTCTTAGACTTGTCACTGTAAAAGAAGCACTACTGAAAGCCCTGATGAATGATGTTGGATGCCTCAGCATCAGTGCAACAAGCAGTGCTTTTAAAGTATTGACTTCTGTGGCTCTTGTGAGGGGCAAAAAAACCAAAGCACTTTGATATTCTAGAGAATTTGATAATTTTGAAAGCAAGATAGTTCCTAGTTTCCTTTCTACCAGGAAATGAACCAGACAGTTGGGGTTTGGAAGGTTTCAATCCTGATTATACCACTAATAGATTCTGGCTTTGCAATTTCTGCTGTGTGTGATCTCACATTGAAATATGTATTTTTTTGTTTAAAAGACAGATATGGGAATCTGGTTTTGATTTTTTTTTTTAAATTGATTTTGGGCTTTTTTTTCATGCTTGTTGGTTCTGTGTTTTCCTTTTGAAAGTCTTAGGAATACATCACCGTATAAAAATGAATAGCATGTTTCACATTTTATTGTTGAACAATAAAATGATGTGGTCCATGGCATGAAATTATCTGAGGTAGAACTTTGAATGCTATGGAAGTGCTTTGTCAATGTCTCTTGAGTAGCATTTTGCAGGACTACTTATTTCATGTTCTAATAACATAATCTGAATCAAGATACCTTTAAGCTTTGTAGTTTTCCTTATATATGACAGGTTTTTGCCTGTTACCCTTGGAGTAGAAAACACCATCCCCTGTGACACTTGGGTTTCCCTTGTTGGGGTGTTTGGGGATGTAGTTTGTTGTGTCCAGAAACAGGGAGCAGCCTTGCTCAACCCACTTATGAGAGTGATCTGACCAAAACCCAGAGTGAGATGGAGGAGGTAAGCAAGGAAGAAGAGTCCACTGTCTCTCCTTGTTAAAGAGCTGGGTAGGATGTTAAAAAAGGCTCTCAGGGAGCAGGGTCTGGGCCAACAAATCCAATCACATTCTCCGCAGTGAGGCTGTGCAAAGGCTTATCACAGGATGTTGTGAATGCAACACACAGGTTTACATGGATTCAGTGGCAGTTCAGTRGTGGCTACAAGGATCACAGGAAATGTGATCTTCAGTTGAATGAATATTAAGGTTTGATCCTGGAATCACAGAGCTTCAAGGGGAATTGGAAGATTGTAATGCAGTCTGTGGTTTTGGACAATAAAACTTTTATAAAATTTAATTGTTGAAAATAATTTTGTGAGTAATTCATCTTTTCTTCGCTTGTCCAGATCAGATGAAGCTACAGATGACATGACCAAAGTCAAAACAATGCATGAACGGATGAGAAACAGCATTGAGAACATTATCTGCCTAGTTGCTGGAAATCCTAGGTGTGACTTCACTACCAAGAGATCCTGATGTTGTGTGATCATTGAGCAGTGTTTGCAAGAATGGAAAAGCAAAGGACCTCACTGGCTGCATCTCATCAATAAAAATTCCCAAGATTCAGCTAAATTGAAAAATTATTCCAGCCATGGGAGAAAATGCAAGTTTTTGGGAAAGTTTGATATATGCACATCCTACATGTACCACCTGGAAGCAAGAGGCAGAGGGATCTATTTACCACCTAGCCAGCATTCTCTTTGTTGTGGGCTTCATGGGTGGAAGTGGATTCTTTGGGCTTCTCTATGTCTTCAGCTTGCTTGGACTGGGCTTTCTCTGCTCTTCTGTTTGGGCTTGGCTGGATGTCTGTGCTGCTGACATATTCTCCTGGAATTTTGTCCTGTTTGCCATATGCTTCGTGCAGTTCATTTACGTTACCTACCAAGTTCGGAGCGTTGCCTTTGACAGAGAATTCCAGGAACTCTACAGTGCTCTCTTCCAGCCTCTGGGAATTTCCTTGACTGTGTACAGGAAGATTGTCTTGTGCTGCGATGCAGAAGTGATTACCCTGGAGAAGGAACATTGTTACGCCATGCAGGGCAAAACACCAATTGATAAACTGTCCTTGCTTGTGTCAGGCAGGTTTGTATTGCTTTGTTCAGGTTTACTGCAAATATCTTTATTTTTCCCTCCTTACTGAAAATGAAAGAAAAAAAAAGCCTAATTTGTGTATTGTTTGCTTATTTTCCAGTACAACAGATTAAATATTAATGCAAGTAATATAAATATTAATAGGTTAAATACGCTTGTCTAGAATAGCACTAACACAAAAACACTAAGCACAGAATCTGTAATAGAATCAAGAAAAGAATTTGAAGTCATTCTTTTCTGGGCTGTTGTATCATAGCCTTTAACAGGTTAGGCAGATCAAGGGAATAAATGTGGTTTTGCAGTCTTCAGGTTATGGCTTGCTCTCTATCTGCTGCTTAGCTGATGAGCACAGCATCTCTCCTATTTTTCTTTGTTAGTGTCATCTGAAATGGAACTAAAAGTTACTTGCAAAACTGAATACACTGAGATAAACTCTTTTTAATGGAGATCTTGACTTTGACACAGATTGTATCAGTTTTTTTCAAGGAGGTAGGAGAAGGGTGTCAGTCAGCACCTTTTCATTACAAGGGGATGTAGTTGAGCTTATCAAGGTTTGCAGAACTGGATCTACAGTTACTGTATACTATGGCCCTGTGAGGTAGTAAATCCATCTGCTTGTACTCCCTGCTTACAGGAGAGCCTTCTGGCACCTTTGCTGATGCTTTCCTGGAGGGAAATACTAGCTTTTGTATGGGATGCAAAGCAGGGTGCAGTACCAGAGCAACATGAAAGAAGGTGGGACACGCAGGGATGATGGACATGTCCTTGATGGGACACTTTGTGGGTGCTTTTTGATACTTGCTGCATGGATAGATGGAATTTGTAGGCAGCTTGATGCTCAGCTGATTTAGGACTACTTGCAGTGAACAGTGTAGATTGTAGGCAGTTTTCCTTAGTGACACCCTGGTTCAGAGCATTCTTGGGAACTGTGTAGGAGGTACCTCATGGAGGTTGGTTTTGGTCTTACCAAAGGAGAGGTATCCATCCTTCTACCTGCCCAGTCAGTTTGTAATCAGGCACGGAGTTCCTGCTGCCCTTTGTTCCATGGTACWGGGCTGCTTGTGTGCCTTCACACTTAAATATTATTTCAGAACTAGAAATGAAATTTTTCTTTAGCATCTTCAGAAAGCCAAAGCATTCACATCCTCCAGGTTGTTCTGGCTCCAGACATAGCCCTGTGGCCATGTAATTCCTGTTAAACATGGAGAGAGCCCTCCTAACACATGCCATGGGGGAATCCTGCTTCCCATTCCAAGCTTTTGCCGCATTGTTCCCTTTAAAATGCATATTTGCCAAAACTACAAGTAAATCCCGTGGTTTTCAGGGGAAGCAGGTCAGTGCTATTATGGGCACCACTGGTCTTTCACCTCTCCAGTACATGCTGGCCTTTTAATGGCAAAACTTGTGCATCACTGCACAGACCTACCACAGAGAGAATAATGCAGTTTGAACAAGGCCTGGAAAGATTTCCATTTCAGTTGCATGATCRTTTTGTGTTCTCTTTCAACTGGCCTGAGCAAGTCGGATTCAAAAATATAATTAGGATACTGTTGGCCATTGATTACTTTTTCATGCTYTCAAAGCTATATTTAAATTCCTCAGATAGTAGAAGTAGCACATTCTTGTTGCAGTCATTGCTGGTGTACAGGTAGTGCTAACAAATTAACACATCTTATCTTGGTAGGATCAGAGTGACAGTTGATGGGGAGTTTCTGCATTATATTTTTCCTCTTCAATTTCTGGACTCTCCTGAATGGGATTCACTGAGGCCAACAGAAGAGGGAATTTTCCAGGTAAAAGTTATGGGGTTTCTTTATTTTATTTTTTTTTTTTGTTTTTTTGTTTTTTTTTTGTTTTGTTTTGTTTTTTGTTTTTTTTAAGTACTCCAGGAAATTGTTGAAGTCCTCTTTGATTTAGAAATAAATTTGTTGTGGGTTTTGTCTGTGATAACATACAAGCAAGTGGCATTCCATTAGTTTTAGGAGGAAAATCCTCTTTGCTGGTGGGACTGGTTTTGCTGTTTGTATCTTGTTAAAATGGACAGGGGTTTTCTTAAAGCTAATCTGGGAGGTAGGCTCTGTTTGCATTCTTTGGCTGYGCTGATATTCAGCCCTGAGAAGCCAGATTTCCTCGGGGTGGGCAGAAGCTGGTGCTGAAGAGGCTTCCCAATGGGAGATGAGCCAGGGGGAGACGTGTCCATGACACAGCCTGGCACGGGTTACAGCGTGGGACAGTGTCAGCCAGGGCTGCCCTGCGCTCTGAGCCCTCCCACYGCTGTCACTTGACCGCCACACGCTGGCTTCTGTCCGTGTCGGATCTGATGTCTGCTGTCACGAGGACAAATGGCATTTGTCGAGAGCTTTCTTTAGAGCTGCCKTTCCAGCTGAGGCTGCCAAGAGCGGAGCAGGGAGCGCCGGGCTGAGCCAGGGCATCCTGGCCGTGCGGACACCGGCGTATTGTCGCTGGGGCTGACCAGATGGGATCATTTAGTCCATACCCAGGCACCTTCTCSCTTGTCTTTTGCCGACAGTAATATCCCAGAGCTCTCCAGCTCGATTAAAAGGCTCTAATTGCAGCAGACAGGTTCTGCTGGGAGGGGTTGCCTTGTGTTCAAGGGCAGCAGCARCAGCAGCACCGCTTTGTCACCTGGCTCTCCGTTCTCTCTTGTCTAGGTGACGCTCACAGCCGAGACGGATTGCCGGTACGTGGCCTGGAGGAGGAAGAAGCTCTACCTGCTGTTCGCTAAGCACCGCTTCATCTCCCGCCTGTTCTCCATTCTAATTGGGAGCGACATTGCTGAAAAACTGTACGCCCTGAACGACCGGGTGCACGTGGGGCAGGGCTTTAGGTACGACATTCGCTTACCCAACTTCTACCATGTGGCACTGCCAGAGACCCCTCCCGTGCCGCCCCCCCGCCACTCCCACCGCCTCCAGCGGGGCTCCCCCCGCCGCAAACCCGCGGGGGTGACAAACTGCAGCCCCTTCCTCACGCCCTCCTAGGGAGGAGAGTTCTGCTGCAGCCGTTCCTCACAATGCAAGGTGGCAAAGCAGAAGAGCAGAGACAAGAGCAGACGAAGCCAAATTTGACTGACAAGTGCCATTTATGTTAATTGGAGTACGTTGAATTCTCTATGTCAAGCCAGAGGTTGGCTTCTGCATTTTAACTGTCTGTGCAATATGTTTACTTTCTGTTGGTTCTCCTGTTGATCTTCATCTCTTTCATTTTGGAGGAAAACAAATCCCCAGTCTGAGGACTTACTGCAATTGTGGTGGCCTCTGTGGTTGTATGTTGTTTTGTTGTTCTGTTGGGGTTTTATTGTAAAGCAAGCCCACKATATTTGTAATTATATTTTCCTAAAAAAATTTTGTCATAATGAAGTATAGTCAAAATAGTCAATAAAAACAAGTAAGTTGTCTTCAAAATACAGCAACTTGCTTATAACATTCATATTTATACCATGTGAACATTCTCTAAGTTTGCACGAATAATATTCCAGAAAAAGACTAAGGACCTATTGCATTGGATTTGTTTCTTAAAGAAATGAAAGATTTTGAAATGCACAGCAAGATTGTTAAAAACCCATACAAAACAAAACAACAAATTGTGTCCCATACGTGRTTGGTTTCTCTCTGACAGTTCTAATGAGGTATTGTGTGAAAACAAACATAAATGTGGTTTATAGCATTAGGAAAACAAAACAGCTGTAACTGCTGCGAATACAGCTTAGGGAAGTGGTTGTGTAGTGCCTCTGATAGAAWGGGATGCTATAGCACCTGGGCTTCTGCAGTGTCAGTGCCCTTCGTGACATGTACAATAAATAATGGTAATCAATCTACTGCCAAACCACTGGAGTTTGTTGTATATTACTCTTTTAGCTATGTTTGTCGGGAAGAGACTAAAACAGCTGCAGCAATAAATGCAATTTTTAACTGACACATTCTTGTTTAGCTTCCAGAGTCAATTTTTTGTGCCTATGAAATTCTTGTTATAAAAAATACTCTCTCCCTAATTCTGTGGTGTTTAATGACATAAGGGAGCCTCAGATCGTACTTCAGTAGGAGAGAGCTGGGGTCACTGTGCCTTTGAAGAGAAGTGTCCAAATGTCTTTGCTAACTCACCTTCCTGCTGCTGTGCCTGATGCCTGCCAGTAATCAAAAAATAAGAAGCATTACTATTTTATGAGAATGGATTGCTGCTTGATATGTCTGGAAGTAGATCATATTTTTAATATTTTAAAATTTCTGGCCTGTGTGCTTCTCTGCGTGTGGGTATACATTTAAGTTTAGATCTGGTGAGCTCTTTCAGGAGGACTTAAAATGATGATACAATCTTATGCTTGAAAGATAATCACGCAGTATGTATAAAAAAAGCTATTAGAAATTATGTGAAACACTGTCTGTTTGAAGGACATTTAATGTAAAGCAGTTAGCATTTTACAAGTTTTGCTTTCAGCTTTATGTTGCTTTCTCAGAGAGGAAAATCTACCAACAAACCCAGCATGCAATGTGATAATCCCCAAATCATTCTCATAGCCTTTCCATGCAGTGTATCCTGTAGGTACCACTTAAAGCATGAAGTCCCTGAGTCACAGAGCTACTTCGTCTTGGTCAAAAGAAAATTGAAAAAAAAAAGTAAACAGTTCACTCATGGCTTTTAAAGACCTGTTCAGATGATAACTAAGGCACAAAGTGCCAGAGGCTGGCAGCATGTAGTAAGGATGTACATCTGTGTGTACCCTTATCCTATACTTTTCCTGGTTCAGGGACAGGATAGCAGGCTACCTAACCCCTTGGTGTGGCTCAGCACAGATATTCTCGTGCTACTTCAGTGCTGTGATTGGTGTCATGTCCTATTTATCAGCAGTGCCTGAGGTGGGGAAGAAGTGCATCATCTCTCGGGGATGTCACTTGGGCTGTGCCTCACCATCCCTCTGTGTCAGCTAGCTGAGCTGCTCTAAAAACCTTACACTGTTTTTTAAAGACCCATTTAAAAATAACTCCCCACTTGATTCTGATAGCAAGAATTTCTAAATTTCTCATGTTGTAATGTGTGTTGGACCAACATGAAGTTTATACTTAATGTTTCATGTTTTAAAAATCTATAAACAAAAAAATATTTTAAATGTGTAAAAGACATCTTATTCTGACTTAGGTGTAATATAAATCATTGATTCATGTTCTCAGTTTCCTTGAATATATGTGTTTGGCCATTTATTCAAGAAAACTTGTCTTTACTAAATTCTGACCCTATTAAAGTTAATTAATTTGATCATCTTCACCTTAAAATAAGACCAAGGAGTCTTGCTCACTGAATTTTTATATCAAGCTTATATAGTCTATTTAAACTATAGCATACTGCTTAGAAAGATACCTGGGAATGATGGGAGCTTCATGACATACTTCAATAATTTTTTCTTTTTTGTGACTGTTGTGTGTCTTGKTTTCTGTCACACACTTTCCAAACACAATCCTCTGTGATGCTTTTCTCTGCTGGAATCGGCTACTGTCAGAAATCTCTACCAGGACATGTCTGAGTCAATATCTGAACATTCTCTTAGCTGATCTTGTTTAGCTGTTGCTACTGTGCTTTCTGGGCTTTGAGTCATTTTTTTAAAATTGTTTCTAGTTTTTCAGCATCTGTTTGAGACATGACTAGCAGAATATTTCAGCTGTAAAATTCAGCTGTAGAATATATGTCTACAATAGTATAAGTACAGACAAAAAGACTGGAAGCAAGACAGAAGTTTTCTCTACCTCTGTTTTTATTTTTGTCCAGTGAAATATTCTCTGGTATGCGACTCGTAAATCAGTGTTTTGGGAGGGCTGGATAATCTGCATAAATGAAGACACACTCAGAATGATGTCAGTGAAATTAGACGAGTTTTGTGAGATAAGAAAGTTGGGGTCACTCAGCCTGGAGAAGGTTCCAGGTGATGCYACTGCAGCCTTTCAGTACTTAAAGGGGCCTGCAAGAAAGATGAGGACAAATTTTTTATAGAAGAGCCTCTTATGATAGGACAAAGGGTAATGGCTTTAAATTCAAGGATATATTTAGATATAAGGAGGATTTTTTTGATGAGTGTGATGAAACACTGAAACAGGCTGTGCAGAGAGATGGATGCCTGGTCCCTAGGAACATTCAAATTCACTTTAGATGGAGCTCTGAGCAAGTTGATCTATCTGAAGATATCCCCACTCATTCAAGGGGTGGGCTAGATGGCTTTTAAAGGTCCTTTCCAACCCAGACCATTCTATTTTACTCTAATTTATAGATTAATAAACATTTGGAGCTAGATGAAATTCTGATTTGAGCATCATCCAATTTATGCCAATGATGCCACTCAGAAATAACAATCAGTGAGGTGATCAGACTCCTTCATAATTGGTTTAAGCAAATGCATACTTGAGCCCATGCTGCTATCAATGAGTTCTTCTCTTGATCTGCAATATGACAGTGGTCAAAGGAAACTCACTGGTGGAAAGAATTATGGCAAACCATGACCTCCACCAGGATAAAACTGGGAAAGCTGAATAATGCTTGGATGATATTGCACAGATTTTCCATACCACAAAAAAGGCATATGATTGTACTAATTAAATAATAATTGATGCTACATTTTCMAAAAAAAGGAAGAGAGCTATACAGATTTTGCTTATTGTCAATGATAAATGTAATACATGTTTGGTCTCAATGTACATGAAAGATTAAAACACAATATTGTGTTGCAGATATTGCAAACCATGTGTTAAAAGTGAAACAAATCTGCAGCAATWTATATAGAAGAAAACTATTTAAATAAGAAAGGAAAAAAATAATACTTATTGCTTGTTTTCAAACATGACCAGATGAATATTTTTCTTTCTATTCCATTCCATTGAATGCATATTTTTCCTCCCTAGCATGTCACTCTATAACAGATTTTTTTACTATAAAACAAAATAAATACCATGTTAAGCTGATTTGTTAATACCACTTGAAAATACTTTCTTTACATTAATATGCATTAAAAYGTAATAGGTTCAGGGTTTCCAAGGAAAAGCACACTTACTTTCTGTTTGTCTAATTCACATTAACTTATCTTTCTTGTAGATTTTTTTTATCCCTTCAGTTTCCATTTGCTGTAATTCTGCTTCTGTGGGAATTAAAAGTTGTATTGAACTTGACATGTAAATCAAGCCACCTCATGCTGATGAATCAAAGCATGTAGGTGGAGCTTCATCAGCTGTGTGTAGGAGAAAGGCAGCACAAGCATGTCATCATTGAGCCCTAGATTTGGGGTYGTGTCCCAAACCATGGCTAGCAATGCCCTCCTGGAGGGTCACTTTCCAGAAGGTTCCACCAGCAAAGGGTTTGGACCCAAATCATCTGTCTGCAAACAACAGGTGTTGTTAAACCTTGCTCTGGAGTGAAAAAAAGATAAGATGGGACATTCCCAAAAACTTGTGAGAGCAGACAAATTTTGTAGCAGTTACTCTTCTGCTGTGGATTCACAGGCAATATTTTTTAAGTTGTCACTTGAACTGCAGCTCCTAATTTGAGGGATTGGTTGTGTACTGTAGGGACAGGACTATTTCACCACCTAAGTGGGGTTTTGAAGATAATGATGATAAGAGATAGATGACCAAGAACTAAGACATCAAAGTCACATAGATAAACAATTGTAGGAAAGTAATGGTGATAAATAACTATTTAAGCAGTGAATCCCATAGTTTTCATTGTATCTACTAGTCACTCTCCACCTAAGCTTGTTGAAATCTGGGGGACATAATGACTTCCTGGGAGTAAGGGCCAAGAAAGACACTTGAAGCCAAAATTTCTATTTAACAGATAAGTGCTCTAACCCTG